TTTCTATCCACCAACACTCCCAGATCCTTCTCCGCAGGACTGTATTTGTGCTTGGGATTGTGTCTATCCATGTACAGGACCTTGCACTTGGCCTTGCTGAACTTCATGAGGTTTGCACAGGCCCACCTCTCAAACCTGTCAAGGTCCCTCTGGATGGCATCCCTTCCCTCCAGTGTGTTGACTGCACCACACAGCTTGGTGTCGTTGGCAAACTTGCTGAGGGTGCACTCAATACCACTGTCTGTATCACCAAAAAAGATGTTAAACAGCACTGGTCCCAACACTGGCCCCTGAGGAATGATACATTGACACATTATTCCACTTCTGCTAGCTTGAAGGTATTTGCCTCTGTGAAATTCTTCAAAATAATATCTCCTCAGGTCAATGTCTCTTTCCCTTCTACTCTTTTCATCTTCATCATTTGTCATTTTTCTGAGGCTACATTTTTTCTTTACCCTAATCATAACACCTGAAAACCATAATTTAAAACCAGAAAGGTAAAGAATGTAAACATTTGTAACTCTAAAGATTAAAAATAGCATTAAAACCACATAAATACTGGTTACTATGGAGGAGCATCATCTATGCCATATAAAAGCTGTCCTGCAAGTGAGCATGTCTGACAGTTTCCAGTTTTAGTGTGGAAAACCCAGTATGCTGGTAGGATGAGCAGAGCAGAAGTGTAACTTGGTCTTTTTACCTTGTGGGGGTTTTTTATTCTAATAAATAGGGAGAAGGAAAATGCTTTCATAGAAAGAAGAAGAGGAAGAGAAGGACAGAGAAGATGGACACATGAAAGTATTTGTCTGGAAACAGATTAATCATTCTGGTAATCATTATGAGAAATTATTTCCATTTAAACCAATCAGGCAAGTCAAAGCATGTGATCCAAAAGACTAACTAACTGAATCTTGAGAAGCAGTCAAAAGAGCCTCTTCAGCCAGTACTGGGTGTAACCCATCGGTAAACCCTTTTAACCCAGTGGAACTGCACAAGAGGAAGGGAGATCAGGTTTGGACCTGGAGTCACAGAAACAGAGGAAATGCCAATCAAGCAACACTCACATATACTTTGACTGAGCGAAAACACCACAGTTTTTAGGTCTCACTTTTAAATGCTCTTCCTGGATTTCTCTACCTCATATGAGTTTGGCCCTTATATTCATTTGCTTTGCTTATAAACCTCTTTCATTATTATAATATAGTTAAAATAGAGACAGGCCATGCAGAGCTCTCATAATGCTCTAGTGTTATGTATGAATGAGGAAATAAGCTAAATCAAAATAAAGCACTCTCATATCCAGCGTAACTACATCAAAACATATGTTTGGATAACTGCATCAGGAAAACATGAGAAGAAAAACTACCTTATGCCTCTAGCCAACGTAATTATTTCTGCACAAGAAAACAGGATCTTCTTTTTTCTTATTCTTCACAAATGCAATGCATATTTCATGCTTTGTAAATATAGGCTATTATGGCATATTCTTTTCTACTCATTTACCTTAAATCTACAAGCCAGAGGCCGCAAAATACACAAGCATTTTTCACTTCTTGATAAAATTTGGTGTTGTGGCTTCTAAACATGGGCTATTGAGAGTCTCCTGATTCACCTTTTGTAGTGTTGTTGAGAAGAAGGGAAAGAGGCTGCCTAATGGAAGACAGCAAGTTAGGACCCCTGTGTGATACAATGAGCAGAGATCCTATAAATTCCTCAGGGCACAAAGGAAGCCTTTAGTTTAACACTATGTGCAAATTATTATAAAGATGTACATCTTTAAAAGGGTTGAGTAATAGGATGATAGGCCCATTGCCTTCTTCAGCTTCCAGCACCAATTTCCCTCCACAGTGTATTCTGTTCTCTCCACCTGCTCCCAGATGCATGCCTTCCTCTGCCAGCTTGAGTCTCTGTCCCAGGCACATTTTTTTTCTACCTCTGAAAGCAGTTTTCAGTTCCAGTCTGCAGTTTACAGCTTACCAGTTTCCATTTCTAACATCATCAGGAGACATTTTTAAGAACACAGGGTCCAGTATCCAGTTTCAGACCCAAATCCATCCCTGGAATAAAAGCAGTTAACTTCTAGAAAGATGTGTTCAGTGGAAAGGTACTCAGCAAAGGCAGAATTGTCGAGGAATTTAACATGTAAAATTCCAATTGTTAAGAAATCAGGCACTTACATTCCCATGGGTAGTTTATTTGCATCATTAAGTTGTTCTTTTTTCTTTCTTTTTTGAACCTGCCCTGAGGGCCATATTAAGAATGCAAACTATAGGAGCTCAATTTAGTAATCACAACTCCTGCAGCATTTTAATTCAATGGCACTGCAAACGGTTGAGATGTCTGTCCTACATTTTAAGGTTTCCAATTTCCATCTCTCAATAAGGTCAGCAGAGAAAAGCAGCTATGTCTCTCAGAAACCAAGCTGTTACAGTTGGTAGTTTGAACACAGTCCTATGTCACTTTAAAAATTCAAACATTCACCACCAAGTATTTATATTATTATTCTAGAGATTAAAAAAAAAAAAAAAAAAAAAAACTTCATTTATAACGCTAAAAACCCCACTCTAATACAATTGATTTCAAAAGCTTATGCTGAAAGTGAGCACGTTTCTCTATCTGCAATACTAGTCAAATATATTATGGTAGGAACTGATATTGTTTTAAAAAAATCAAGCACATTGCATGTATGCTTTTGACATTTTTGTCAGCACAGAAATGGTAACTTCTTTCTTATTTGTTTCTTCACATTTTTAGTATTATAAAATATGTATTTTTTTTATTTCATTAATTCAGAAACCAAGCCCTGAGAAGTACAAGTCTGAAGTTGACACTATGAGTTTGAAACTAATACAAGAGACAAACTGAGTTTTCATCTTTTTTGTCTCCTTTTTGCTTGTACCATAGACTGCAAAAGTGTCTAAGTGATGACTGACAAGCATCAACGCTAAAATCTTAATTAATCTATTTCTATAAGAAAAAAATAATTTCTATCTTTTGGCATGATGTAGTGTTGTTTTGTGACTGATTTTACTAATTTCTATTGCACGGAACACATGCAAAAAGCAACATACATCATTCCATTGTCATTACTGCCACCATAGTGACAACAAATGGCTGAAGTTCTTCGATGCCAAACACATTTCAAACACCATTACAACTCTTTGTCATATGTGCTGTCCCTAAGTGCCAAACTTGGGAGCGCTGCCAACAGTTTGTTGTCACTGAGTCCCTATGATAGGAGGGCACTACACAGGGGTCATGCCTGAAGCTGCAGCAGGAGTCTGCCAGCAGGTGTGGGAAGATGAGCTATTCTAAAAGGTCAGAACTTTTAAAAATACATAAAGATAAGAAAAGCCATGAAATACAGGAGGTGTTCTGAGTTGTCTTCTGTGCAACATGCTTTCTGAATGTTCCCACAGCACCTTGATCATCCCCTACAGCTGAGTCCTCTATTGGAAAAACTTAGAGAGACAAAAGCAAAATAACTACCAAGCTTGCTGTCAAAACAACTAAAAAAATCTTATTTTGGGGGGTACAAGTATTCAGTCTGGGAGAAAGCAAACACTGTTTAAACAATCCTGCACCTTTGGGCAAATGCAGTTCATGGAGTATTATGCTTTAACTATTAAAATCAGATGCTGTCATGATATTTCATAGTAACCCTATGAAAAGAATGTCAAATCCATCTATTCTGAAAAATATTTCCTTCTACAATGTTTGGGCTTTCCACAGTTTTGTCAATACCTGACTGTAGGAACAAGAGTTCTTACAATCTACAGTTTCTAGCCATTTCTATACGATTTATTCTATTATTCAGAGCACTGCTTTCTCATCGGGTGGAACTGAAATACATTCAACACTTTACATTCAATAATCATGACACCAAGTTAAAAGAAAATGAATCAACATCTAATTTAAAAAAAAAAATAAATCAGGCTTAAGTTTGTTATCTAGTGCTTCCTGATTTTGTGAAGTAACATTAATAACTTAAGTCTTACAGCCACAAAGGAAAAGAGTATATCATGCTAAGGCCCCATTCTTTTCCATTAAATTTCTCCTTCATTTTTGGTAACTTTTTTAATTGCCTTATCTACGTTAGTATCTTTTTGGAAATGCTTATTCAATATTACCAGCAAATGCTCTTAATGCACATCTCTGATTACATATTCCAGTAAGTGTCATGAGACACGAAAGCACTGTGTTCCAAACACAAAAAAATGTTAGCATGTAAATGGGCGCTTGACCTTGAAGATAACAAATAAAGTAACTGCTCAAAGACACTGCATAAAATAAAATAAAATTAGAAATACAATCAACAAAACAACAAGATGATTATGATGAATCCCCACCATCACCACCACCAGACACAAATATTATGAATTAAAAATTTTGAGATTGCATGGAAAAAAACCCAAAATGAGACTCTTTATAGTTTCTCAGCCACCATGACCAGGTTAGCTAGACATCTGCTCTTCAATAAAAGTTTAATATTATTTTGATTGCTTGACTATAAGAACAAGAGCTATGAGAAATACTGGAAATGATAGATTGTAAGCCAAATAGAGCTCCCCAGTCAGTTTATCCAACATCCTCTATTCCTCACATCATGGAGTATTATCTCATTACTCCTGTAGCCCAAATAGTTTTCTTTGAATACAGCAAATTTTTCTTCAAATGTTCCAAGATTCACAATAAAATTATGAAAGTTGGCACAACAGCTCAGAGATACATGCAAGTCAAGGAATGCAGGTTTGGACTGAGATGCATATGAGGGAGACACAGGCTGTTTCTTACTTTCATTTGACACATTAACCAGTTGGTCAATGAGGTTCTATTTTCCCATCCAAGCTCCTCCTTGGTACTTTGCAAACATTAGGCCACGTAGATTACATGAACAGACACAGAAACTGCTAACGTTCTCTAATAATGATCAATGGCTATAAGCCGAGCCTTTTTAAATAAAATTCAAAAGTTAACTACATTTTCATAATCATACCAACCTTGAAACATAAAATTCATTTAACAGCAGAGATGATTAGCATAGCCCAAGAACATTCTTCTTTTCTTCATCCTTGTATAAGAAAATGGACAGCCGTAACTCTGGCAAATGGTGTAAGGGATACAATTAATTAAAAATTATATTCAGACACCATCTTTGCTAAAGCAAACATCTACTCAAGAAAAAGTCAACACTTCACAATCATCCTGTGATATTGTAATAGGAAAAAAAAAAAAAACCAAAACAAAACAAAAAACACAAACAAACAAAAAAACTAAAAAAAACCCAAAGCAGGTGAGCAGTAGTCTTTTCTTGAACTGGAAGGGCTCCAATAATATCCAATTACTGGAAGCAAAATCACCTGGTCATTGTAAAAATAGGGCAAAATAACTTACTTAAGAAACAAAGGATACCAAAGAGGACTTTTTTCTAAAATGAAGAAAAAAAATGGGTGCCAGAAATATATATATATATGTATGTATAGACATAGTATGAAGTATGACATAGCAAACCAAATCCAAGAAAGATGAGTAATGAAATAAAAACATTTTTAAAAACATCAGTTTGTGTTTCAAGGAGAAGTGATCTTCCCCTTAACTTGTCTGTCTATAAATAACAGCATCTCCTTTAAGGCTGCCCAAAGGATCTCCTGCCTCCACAAAACCTGGATTTTAGAATGAGGATTTTGCCATAGCAAGAGCTGAGTGAGCTTAAATCCAGCATATACTCCAGAGAAATGAAAGATGGAATTAGGTTAAAGAGCTGGAAGGAGACTTTTTTTATATACTATTAATGATTTACACTGAAAATTGCTGAAACAGAATTCCACCTCTCTCCACTGCAGCTGCAGAGCCACGATGTTTAACTCCACTCTTGTTTCTTTGATATTTCCCTCTGTAACATTTCAAAGTCTCCCCCTTTACGTCTAAAATACCTGTTCAAATCAGTTGTATCACTACATAATCCAAAGTTTTCCTATCCATAAAACACATGAATTTAGTTTTCCACCATCCATGAAGACGTCCCATTAAAACCACAGTTGATATTTAGGCTATTCCACATCTCCATCATATAAATAAAATAAGGTTGATTTCATTCACCAGAATGACTTACTGCTGTCATAAAAGAAAATCATAACCTCAGGCCAGTTTGCCTATACAAAATGATGAGCAGCTTTGCTCTGAAACCACTTACATTGTAAACACTATGTTGCAAACTAAGCTAGCTGGGCCCTTATAGATACATGGGGTTACAGTTCTATAATAAATTGCACAAATAATACAAACATCTGGAGTATAATTTCTTCTCTGAATTTATTCCACCAGGTGGATGGAAGGAGTAGATATTCAGCATGTATTCTCAAGGATAGCAGATAATAATGGAAGGAGAGAGCTGTCTTTAAAAATAAGAAGGGAATCACTTTTATTCCTATATTTAATATTTGTACTTAAAAGCATTTACCACTTTTATTGAACTATTTGCCTGTTTTCTGCTTCCTTTAAATATGTCTACATCCTTCTGTCTTGAAGACTTTCATATCATGATTCATCCCAACAGAGCTGAGGCAATATTTTGTTGGCTCGATTGGTGTACTGTTAAGTTTATGGCTCTATTCCTACAATGGAAGCTGCAAGCACCTACTTCATTACTATTTGATAAGTAACTTGAGAGCCACAGATGGATGTCACTATGGAAACACAAGTGATTATTATAGAGACCAATGAAACAACAATGGACACCTCCATGAGGCGTCAGCTTCCTTCAGTTTCTTTCTTTTTCACAAAACAGCTTTCAATAATAATTTCAGTAAGACTCCTTTACTGAAAGATCAGGCTGGCATCAGGAAAAACAGCTGTCTCTAAATGTTACCCTTTTTTGGCTTGTTTTTCTATCCACCTGACTGGAAAAGCAGTGGAGAACCCATGTCAGTCCTCCGTCCCTGCAGGCTTGAGAGGTAATGTGCCCTCGCAGGGGTACCAGGGGGCACTCTGGTCTCTGAAATGTGAACAGGGCATCTTCTTGGCCCCTTGTAAAATTTCTCCGGCATCTTGTAGGGACCACTTCAGCAACCACGAACCCAGGACACAGAGGTAGGTCTCTGTGGGCACAAAGAACTCTTCTCTTGGGACAACTGCTCTCACCAGGGAGACTCTCCAGATCATTTCTTTCAAGGACCTTGAGTCCGCTGTGTGCTAGCAGAGGTCGAGTAAAGAGAACGATGGAGAAGGAGCATTTTCCCAGCTCTGGTACCAGCCACACCGGGAGCTCCGTACACAACCACTAACTGAGCCGGCAATGTTTGGAGACGATAATGCCAGCATTGTCGGGCTCAGAGCAGCCCAGAGCAGGGCAACTGATGCTGCAGCTGGCATGCTGCAGCTGAGGGTCCATCCAGAGCCACCCTCCCCAAGGTCATCTCGACCACAGAGCTATGACATCAGCGCTTCTTGCAGGCCCCTTCCTGATGACGGCAGATGCGGCAACGCGGTTCTCGCTTTGCTGCCGCCGCTGCTCCGCTGCCGAGGACACCTCATGGGAAATAAATAAATTAATTACCCCAGTCACCCCCGCGGCAGGGAGAGGAGCCGGCGGCGGCTGCGGGATTAGATCCAGCCCGAGCTAGAGACCAGGTAACGTAACCTACCCGTCAGGAGGGAGGAGGAGGAGGAGGAGGAGGA